TAGAAAATACCTTTATTATTTAGAGTCAAATTGTTGCTTTAAAATCTCAAATTTTTCTACACGAAATTCAAAAGTCTAAACTTGAAAAAGGATTGGTGGCTTCTCCTGGAAGTGTTACTGGTAAATCAACTGGTACACCAACTGGCACTGGCATTGTTAGTCCAACTGGCATTGTTAGTCCAGTTTGTTTTTATTTTTATAATGGGTGAGATGGGATCTTTTCTTTGATAATCGGTAATACTTTGGAAGTCGACCTCCTGACCATTATGGGCCTTTTTGATATATAATTCTTCGAGTTGGGTCGGAGGATACCATGATCGGTTAGATTTGATTTTCTTTAACAAAATGATGAAGTCGAATCCTTGATGGAAGGGTTTTTAAGACAAATAATGATAACTTTGTTGACTCCATTGATTTTAGTGTCATTTATCTCAGCTCGAAAATCTTTCAAATTATCTATAATTTGCCATAAAATAATCAAAAAATAGAAACGAAAAAAAAGTGGGGAAGGCGACTTCCAAAGTATTACATACCTGATAATCTTGAAGTTATTTGGTTAAATTATTTTTTCCAAATCTATTTTCCCAAGTTTCTTATTTTTAATTTTATTCAGAAGCAATCGACTTCAACTTCTTCAGTTGTTAATATTGTGGACCAAGTATGTGCTGTTTGTGAGACCAATCCGATTAGTTAGTTTTTAGTTTTAAATTTTATTTTATAATTATCTCATTTTTAGAACATCTTTACAAAGATCACTGGATTTGTGGCTCTTGTTACGTAAGACATTTTTATAAAAGGTCCTATTCTAGTTTATTTTGGCCTTTCTTTACATTAGACTCTTGGGGAAATTTTCCAAATTTTTAAAATATTTAATAAAAATTTTACTTTTCAGACGCGTCCTATTAAACTACATGCCCCTTGTTCAAATAATGGGGAATGTAAGACGTATCAATTATTGAAGGTGAGTTCTCACTTCATTGTTATAATTAAAAATTTAATGCTTTTTAGTGCCCACCTTGCCGATTAAAAAAATTCAGTCAGCTTGGAATTGTTAAATCGCCAAGCAAACCTGAGAGCAAGAAGGTATTTTTTGTCTATAAAAAATTTTTTTCTGACAAATTTTTATTTAGGAAGAGGGGTCAAATGAGAGGAAGAGAAAGCTTGCTGAGCTTACTGGGGAAAATCCTGATATTGTTTGTGAAGACACTCCACCACAATAAGATGTTTGAAGGGTGTTGGAAAGGTTTTTGCATTATTTTTTCTCTTCAGGAGTTTATGAATTAAATATTTATTTTAAATTTATGGGGAGACAATTAAAAATTAAAATACACACAAATTAAAATATGCCCTTTTAAAAAATCTTTTTTTTAATTGATATACTCTCTCCACTGCCTCTATATATATTTTTGATTTTTTTTTGAAGTGAATACATAATTTTTTTAAATCCTCCTCTTTTACCATAAAAAATACATACACAAATTTCTTGGAAACTCTAAAAATCCTATTTCATAAAAAATATGTATTCTCTTCCATTTTTTGCCTAAAAATAATTTGTAAAAAATATATTTTGACTAAAAATATCTTTCAAAAAATTTTTGAAATTTCTTCAAAAAATTTCATTTCTAAAAATTCCAGTTTTCAGAAATTCAAAAAATTTTTGAAATCGTTTTTTGTTTTTTCTCAATTACATATTTATGTAAATTATTTTTGAATTCCAATAAATATTTTTTAATTTAAACATCTTTCCCTTCCATTTAATTTTTTATTTTTCATACAAATCAACCCCAATTACACCTAAAATAAAGATGATTTTTCTAATAACCCCCATGATGGCCTAATTTTACAATTACAATACTTTTTGTAAAAACAGCTTTTTGAACGCATAGGCAATCCCGTTGATTAGGGGAGCTGTAAAAAAGTAGAAAATAAGGATGGGTGTGTGTACCAGGAATGGATTTTCTTCTGCCTTCCGCTTTTTTCTCTTCCGCTAAAAATACACCCCTATTGACGGTCAGGGCCCGGATTTTAAGTTGTAGCCAGTGATGGGTATTGGGCTTTTGTTAGCTCCGGCTTTCAAAATCTTAGCTCCGGCTTCGGCGCTTAAAATAATTATCTTTTTTTAACGTGCATATAATTTAAGATTACAGGTTTTTTAATTAAGGATTTTTTAATGTTTTTTGTGTAAAGTCCAGTTTTGCCAATTTGACAACTCTTCATTTTTCCGATTGAAACTGGGAAAAGACTACAAAAATGTTTTCCTCCTTTTTCACCGATAAAATTCGGGCTGTGCCATTTATTCAACAACACATTAATATTTCTTAGTATGATTTTAATAGTATAAGGAAGAAAATTGTTTTCGAGTTTATTAAAAATAGTATGCCCTTCTTTATTGTAAAATTTTTTTCAAACTTAAAAAAATTAACAGAAAAACATATTTTTGAGCACAAAAATAAATAGAAAATAATGCAAAAATTATATAAAAAATAAAAAAAACTTTGAATTTTGTTTTTAAGTATTTTTTTCAATCTTTTTTAATGTAAAAAGCTCTCCTTTCAAGTCTTTTCTTTTAAAAATTGTCCCACATTTTTTAAAGAATTTTGGGTGGAGGAGATGGCGGGGGAAGCAAAGAAGCAGAAGAAAAATCTTCCTCCTCTTCATTATTATTATTATTATTATTAGCAGCAGCCATAATACAAATTTTCGAGGGAGGTGGTTGTGGTGGTGATAAAAATGTTGGTGGAGGTAAAAGAAGAAAAGAAGTGGGAGGAGGAGAAATTTTTTTGTTGTTTTTGTTGAGGTCTGGAAAAATGTTTTTTATAATTTTTAGAGAATATTCTTTAGAGGAGGAAATATTTTTAGAAAAGGCAAAAAAATTTAATTTAAAAAAATTACATCTTCCCCACACACTATAGATAGTGCGAAAGGAACACAAAAAATTATTACATTTTTTCAAGTTATACATATTTCGGCAAAATTCTCTCAATTTTTTTTATTCACAAAATTCAAAATTTTCTTTTATTAAGGCTTATTCAAGCCTGTAAACTAGGATTTTTTCAGGCGGAGGGCCAAGGGACTCGAGAAGAGCCTGGGCTCATATGAGAAAAAAAAATTTTTTTTGGAGAATTTAAACCGAAAAGAAAAATTAAAAAAATACTTTTCCTACCTTTTTTGTTGTTGCTGTCCATTTGAATAAACATTTAAATGCAAATATATGACTGAGGATGCAAAATGGTCGTGCCCTCCAGGCTATAAATGCCTACCCGGATTTTCCACTCGGGGTTGTTTCGAAATTTCGATTTTCTAGGGTTTTTCTTTCGATTTCGTTTCCCAATTTTGACTTTTTGGTGATATTTTCGATTTTAAAAGCAAAAAGGGGGAATTCTGGCTTCTTGGCCATCGGTTATTCAAAAAATTTTTGGAAATGAAGAGTGGTTACTTTTATTTTCCCAATTAGGTTTACCCAAGTAAGCGTTGAGATATCTGGTCTTTTTTTTGTTTTGTCTTAACAATTAAAAGTTGCTGGTTTAACAACTGAAATTAATTTTCCTGGCAAGTGTCGCTAGTAAACAGAAAAAGGGAGAAATCTGGCTTATTGCCCTTCCAAAATTCTCAAAATTTTCGCCCCATAAAAGTCTGATAACCCTTTGTAAAATTTGAGCGCCACATTTCGCCGACATACTCACACATACTCACCAGTCGCCTGCAAATTCTTTTCCAATTATTATTTTTGATTTCCGGCCTTCGATTTTTGAGGGTTTTTTGTTTCGAAACAACTCAGTTCCTGGTAAATGTTGTAATATTACAAATCAACGTATGTTCGGAATATTTTAATTTTAAATTAAATTTTTAGAAATATATGATAAAAATACAAGAAAAAAACCAAAATGTAAAAATGGCAAAGATCCGTCTGAATATAATGGCTGGTCTTGTAAAGATGAATTTTGTTCTCAAGAGGAGGAATGTATTCAATTAGAAATATTTGCTCATTGCTGTCCTAAATGAATTTTCAATAAATTTTATTTCGTTTATAAATACCGTAAATCTTCTAAGAGATTAAGAGGATAACTAGGATTAGGTGAATGAAGCCAATGAAGTCGATCTCCGGAACCGGATCCGAAAGCCGGATATCCGCATCCGTCAACCCTATACTCGACACAAATACTATTTGTTAAAAATATTTATATTTTACTATAAATTAAATATAATTTTGACAAAAATTAAAATAATGTTTGTATATATTATTTATTATTATTAAACATAAACTGGTCGATTCGCTCCATCGCCAACGGCTACAATTGTATTAGCTGGCTCTACAACATCTGCCCTTTCTCCATCATCTTCATCAAATTCATCAGAGAACATTTCCCGTCCCGCGGTGAAACCAACTAGGTCTGGAGCCATTCGTCCTTAAAAAAATTCAATCTTAATAATTATTTTTTAAATATTTTTTAACTAAATACACAAATATCTATGTTAATTAAATAGTCACTTAAATACAAATTTCCATACATCTTCATGAAATGGATGTTAAGAAATATTAATAACCTGTTAGTGTAAAATGTTTGCGAGCATATAAAACACCAAAAACGAGAAGGACGGTACTTAGCAGCTAAAATTAAAAAATATTTTAATTATTATTTTACGATTTTTGGGTACTTTATCTATATTTAAAATTTTTATTTTTATCTCCATTTTTAAAGAATTTTTGGTTAAAGCCACGACATGCTTAACTTCGAACCTTTCAACCCAGATATGCCCACTGAACTTTGCGGAGTTGACTCCAAAGTGTCGGGTCCAACTTTATCTAAACTCAAATACCGAAATTAAACAAAAGTACACGTTTTATTCTGTTTGTTTATAAAGTATCTTTTATAATGTATAACAAACCATAAAGACCATAATAACCATTGTTTTAGCCATCGGTGATGTACTCTTAAGGGGTGGCCCACATTCAATTTTTGCTTGAGCTTCATAAAGGCCTAGACCTTTAACATTTTCCGGTGATTTACATCAAAAAAAGGCAGAAAATATTTAACATAATACTCTCAAACAATACAAACTTTGGTATTTCAAATTCAGCAGCCGTTCTCATTGCATTTTCATTTTGCATTAGCCATTTAAGTTCACAATCACAATTCTATTAAAATTTTATTTTTTTATTCTCTTATTTTTATTACCCAAGGATTTCCTTCAAGTCTTAATCTTTGCATTGTACTCCAATAAACATTTTTAAGTGTCCCTTCATGTAAATTAGTAAAATTACAGTTTTTGAGGTTTATTTGTTTTAATTCCTTTGGTGCTGATTTTCCAAAAGCATTGGCATCTAATTCGTTTAGAGATTTTGATTCTGAGAAGTCTAGGCTCTAAATCAGAGTAAATATTATTTTTAAAAATCTTGTCCTTATTCAAATCTTCGCCTATTAAGCAATAAGGAACAAAGAATTACAGTCGGTCCTCAATATAATTAACCTCGATTTAATAATCCTCTCGAAATAACAAACTTTTCTTCGTCCTTCAAATTTGTTATATCGAGATTTGACTGTATATTATCTTAACTATTTTTAAAATATATACTATGTTTTTGAGGTAGTATATAAAAATAAATAAAATATTTTTATTTTAAATAACCTCAAGTTGTTTTAATCCACAAAATGCGCAATTGTCAATCCGTTTTAGATAACGACTCTTTTGCATATCTTAATATGTAATGAAATCAAAAATGTTGTATTTCTTTCTTTAGAAATTAATTTTAATTTTCCTTACAAAATTTTTTAAGTTTAGGCGCCGCAGCCGCCAATTCTCCATTATTGAGTGCTTCCAAGTAAGTATCTGACATTACAAGAATTTCAAGTTTTGGTAACTTTTCTGGTGATATGGCTTTGGGGATAGAACGGAGTGGATTGCCAGATAATGAAAGGGCACGGAGATTGCTTAAAATTGTTTTAAATTTATTAAAAAAAAGTTTATTTTTTATATTCTTTATACATAATATTAACAGAAATTGATAAAATATTTGCCCGCCAAAATTATTAGACTTACGGCAAATTTTCAAATAAATCATCATCTAATTTGTCTAAAGAGCAGCGATCGAGGGAAAGAATTTCCAAATTTTTAAGTGATGGAGATAAAACCTAAATAAATGAATGTTTATATTTTAAATTAATTTTTTCAAAACTTTTTTTGAAATTTCCAATTCTTTATTCCCATCAAGTATTAATTTTCGAAGACTTTTAAGGTTATTAAATACACCATCATCCAATTTACCTTTAAAAATATATTAATTATAAATTATTTTAAGTAATTATTAATACTTAAAAAATTATAATCCAAATATAATTGATGTAAAGATCCGAGGAATTTTGTAAAAATATCACTAAAAATTAAAAAAAAATTTAAATTAAAGAAGAGGAAGAAATTAGAAGTTTTTCTCTTAAAATTTAATAATTATTTTCGAAAATTTATAATTAAAAATCAACAACATACTCGCTTAGTTCGTCCAAATTATTTTGAGTTAATTTTAATTCTAACAAATTAACAAAATTGTCAAGAGAACCAGGCTCTATATCAGCAATTCTATTTTGAGAAAGGTCCAATGAAAGTAAAGATTTTTCCTGGCCAGGAAGTATTTTATTCTGTTGAAAAGTCATTTATTTTAAATATTTGTGTTTTTAAGCTTAGGTTTTGGTTTTTCTTCATTAAAATACTCAAGAAAAGAAGGATATAAAAATTTAAAATAAATAATTTGGATTGAAAATTCATCTGTCCAATCTTTAAATTCTTTTATTCACTTCCCTACTATTTTAACATTATCCCGGGCTAGAAGTCTTTATTATAAAGACTTAAATACTAGTTAAATATTATTTTAAATAAAATTTAAATACCTTAAAAAGATAACTAATATAATTACGTTCCAAATGTGCAATAGCTATAGGCCCTATTTCTTTTGGTACAATTAAATTTGCATTGTTTAGGCCTTGAGCTCCACATTTTAATGTTTGATTTCCGCCACGAATACATTCACAAGCACTTTCCTCTTTTAAAATTTTTTTAAGAAAATAAAAAAATTTATTTTTACTTTTGGACTTATCACACACGTAAACTCGAGCCGGTGCTTGTTTTTCTTTGCTAGAATACTTAAATTGCAAAATTATATTATATATACATATATAAAATAAAAATTATTTATTCAGGATAACCCCTCACCTTCCCAAACAAAAAATTAAAAATATTTAAGAAAGTTTAATTTAATTTCTATACAAAAGCAATGGTACACATGTATTTTAACAGAACCTTCTTCAATGGTTTTTTAAATATAAACTAGCCTGAGTTTTAGATTCTGGATCATAATCTTCATCTTCAAAAGAAGAATCTTCCCAACTATCACGCCAATTACTATCATTTTTAACGAAAACAAAAAGAGATAATATTAATGATATTAACAATTTAATGTTCATTTTTTCTTTTTAAATCCTTTCCTTAATTGAATTTAAATAAAACTATAACTATCTTTCGCACCAAGTTAAGTGGGGTAAATTTTGATAAAATATTTCGAAATAAAAATTAAAATATAAAAAAATTTTTATTAAGCAAAATAATATTTTAAACAAACAACTCTATAAGGTAGTTTACTTAATGACTGTTAAAAATTGATAGTCCCTAGTTTTTTTCTAAATCATAGAAATTTATTAAATATTAGAAAAATATAGTATATTTATTATTTCGAAATTCTGATTTTCTATTTTTATTGCCAATTCATAATGAAAATTAAATTTTCAAAATTAATTAAAAATTTTCAAAATAAAAATTGAAATAATAATTAATTTAATTTTACACAAAAACGCAGAAATATTTCGGACAAGATAAGGATTAATTGACAAACAAAATTTACTTATGACACATTTTAATTTTAAATTAAATTATTTAAAATGATCAATAAAAATAAATATATTTTTGGTTTACGGGTTAACGCCAGCTTTTTGGTTATTTACTGATAATTTTAAGAAAAATTGATAAACAAATTACTTATATTTAAAGGAATGGAGCCATTAAAAAAATAAAATTAAGTATTTTTATCAAAATTAATAAATATTTTACAAAAATTATAAAAAATTAATATAATTAGCTCCTTTGCATAAATATGAAAAACTAATAAAGTAAAATTTGTTAAATTATAATGATTTTCAAATTGTAATTTTATTAAAATAAAGTTTTAAATAAAATAATGTTTTGAAGTAATTTATATGTAAAATCTCTATTGTAACTACTATATCCTTGAAAATGAAATACCGTATTTCCTATATTAGAGCCCCATGGGGCTCTATTTTTCAACTATCCTCCAGGGTGGGGCTGTATTAAAGGGTGGGGCTCTAATTGAGGGTGGGGCTCTATTTTTCAACCCTCTTTGAGTTAAAATCCCATTTATTAACTGTCCATTGCAACAAGAGATAGGCCGGAGGGGATGGTCGATAAAACCGAAAATATCAAAAGCGAATCGATATTTTTTTTGATTTTTCATGAAAAATTAAAACTTTTTAAGCAATGAATAACAAAATAGTCACAATAATTCAATAAGAGTAAGATTAATATTAAATATTAATAGATTTGGACGGATTAAAGGAAATATTAGGGGACTAGTGTTTGACATCGATGGATCAGAGGTATAAGAGTGGCTTTTAAGGGATTATGGGGAATACAGAGGATTAAGCTTATATTGAGAGATTTAGCGGGATTAAGAGGGATATTCTGGACTAGGGGTATTAGGAGGCAAATGAAGGGATTTTGTTTGATGAAGCTTTTGAACAAGTTCCAGAACTGGAACCGATTTTGGAGAAATTTTGGAACTTCATCACTGATTATAAGCGAGATCTCTAATAGATCTTTAATAATCTCTCGAATTATCGCCAAGTGCCTAACACGATTGCAACCCTTCATATTGAAACCCTTCAAAAATTGCAACCCTTCATAAATTTATTTTATTGGAGATAATAGGAGGGATTTGGAGGAATATAGGCGATTCTAGAGTATTTGGGCGGATATCGAAGTTATCCCCTCCTTTTCATTTCTATATTCCTATGATCCCTCCTCCTTCTTGATCGCGATATCATCGAGATCCATCCCCTTTATTTCCTTAACTCTCTTAATACATCTAAAAAGTTATTGGGATAATTTTTCCTCCAATATTTTTTAGGTGGGGCTTTATTTGGGGTGGGGCTCTAATTGAGGGTGGGGCTCTATTTTTTAACTATCCTCCAAAGTGGGGCTGTATTAGAGGGTGGGGCTCTAACAGAGGGTGGGGCTCTAATATAGGAAATACGGTATTTGTAAAGTCAAGGCGCCAAATCTTTAATTTTTAAAATTATTTAGAAACATATGTATAGATTTGTTTTTGTTTTTTTCTCGAAATCGAACCAGCAAAGAAACCTCCGTTTAAGGCAAAAATGAAAATAATCGAAATGATGATAAATAATTTATTAAATAATTATTTTTTTGTAATCTTTCTTTGTTATTTATTATTCAAAATTTTTGATTGTTCCTTTGTTTTTGTTCAACTTTACTCAAGACGTTTTACACAACCATAGAAACTGCTATTTAAAAGATCTCCAAATTCACTAAATATTTTAATTTTCCATGAGGAGATACAATTTTTTATTTTACTTGTTCACTATCCAAAATCGCAAATATTCTTTGGCAAGCAATAAATTGAGATTATTTTTAACCCAAATTTAAAATTAAAATCATGTGGATATTTTTTAAATTAATTTTCATTTAAATAAATTGTTTTAAATGTTTGTTTGGATAAATAAATTTAAAATAAAGTAAACATTGGAAATATTTTTTAAAATAATTTTCAAGTATTTCTAAAAATATTATTAAATCTTTGCCATTTTTTAAATTTAATTCTTTCAAAAAATCCACTCTTGAAATTTAAAAATTTTTATTTTTAAAGTGGATTTGTTTCGAATATTTTAATTGCTTTATTTAATTTTTGCCATTTTTCACCTCTTCAGAAAATCAAAAATCACTTTCTGATTTAACTTAAAATTTGTCTATTTTTTAATTTAAAATATAAAGATCTAATTAATTAACTAAAATTAATTTGTTCAGCTACCCTTTATTATTTTATTACAATTATTTAATTATAATTAAATAAAAATTTAATTAATTTCTTTGGATTAAAAATTATTCAGATCTAAAATTTAGAGCAGAAAAAAATATAATTTAAAAATAAATCTTATATTTATTTCATGTTTCTATAATGACATAACAAATATTCCACAATAATTGAGAATCATTGTAAAATATAGGTTTCTATTAGGGTAACACTACTAGTTTTAAAACCGAAATTTTTGAAATTTTTTCTCAGAAATTATTTTTTTTGAATTTTAAAAATCGAAAACCAGAAATTTATGAAAATCAGTGATTTTTAAAAAATATCCCCCGAAATAAAACAGATACTTGACCAAAACTCAAAACCGAAAACCGGGGTTTTAAAATTTGAATTAACCGAAAACCGGGGGTACTAGTTAATAACCGATTGTGTCCTACCCTAGTTTCTATTAAAGAATTTATATCAACTTTAGTTTAAATAACGGATTAGCTTTCATAAATAATTAACCATCAAAATTACTATACTTCACAAAATTTTTAATTTTAATTTCTTTTTCCTATTTTTAAACAAAAATTGTCATTCAAAATTGCATTCTCCTATTTACCAAAATTTTTATTTCGTTTCGAGATCAAATAAAAACCGGTTATATATTTGTAGTTATTCATCAATCTTTTAATTCTCTTTAATTTTTTATATTTATTAATCATTCCCGTTCTCCTCCGAATCCTCTTCAAACGCCTTCTCTAATTGTATCAATGATCAATTTTTTATTTTAATTAAAATACAAAATCTTAGCGCAAACAAACGACTAATTTAAAATAATTAATTTTTAACGGAAATATACAAAAAATTTAATTAGAATTTTTTAATTAAAAATTTTTTAATATAATTCAAAGAATAATTCAAAAATTTTAATTACTAATAGCTACATAATTCACTAAATTCTATTATTCTTGGAGTAAAATTATTTATCATTAATTTCCTCTAATTAGAATTCTTAAATATTTAAAAAATATTTTAAAAATAAACAAAAAAAGATTTTTTCATTTAAAAATAATTTTTTAAACCAATTATACATAAACATTAATCCAAATATTCTATAATCTATTTTGATTGCCAAATTGATTTCTGTTAAACATTTTTCAATAATTTTTTATTGGTTAAAACAACTTCGATTCAGATGCTTTAAATTCTTGCTTTAATCAGATGCATTATTTAATGCTTTAAATAAATTACCAAAATAAAAATAGAAACCAGACAAGGGATTGATCGAGATTCTGATCGACATCTCAAAAAATCCCGACTATACAACTATATTTTTGAGCATCAACTCGTCCTTGTTCTTTATTACATCATTCTTAACAATATTTTTTCTTTAATTTTTCAATTTAACTAATTTGGAAAATATTTTTTTTGGTATTCTTCTTCATTTTATTTAACTAATCGGAAAAACAATATTAAAAAATTGTTAGAAACTGGCTGAATATTTGACAAATTTTTTAGAAAATTAAAATTAATTTGTTATTCTAAATTTGAAGG